GATTCCATGGTAGAGCTTGTGCCTTCCATGCAACAATTCCCCCGTGTAGGCACATATTCATTGAAGCCGTCTTATATTATAGATTATAGATCTCCTTGCACTCAAAAAGCTTGATGCTATGTTAATTAGTCCTCATAATGACATGGGTATAATTGTCCCTGATGCGAAAAATTGTGATTAGTATCCATTGGGTATGTCAGGTGGAAGGCCTTCAATTAGAGGCAGGAAGAGAAGTGGTGGCTCCCAAATCCAAAAGTTCCTCCAAAAGGGTTGTCAGTGGATGCAAGGAAGAGGTTGCAGCAATGCAGGGACTGTACCAACCAGATACTGAAGGCAGCCTTAGCAATCAATAGCAATGTGCTTGCTGAGATGGAGATTCCCAATGCTTACTTAGAAACTTTGCCCAAGGTATGGGTTTCAATGTTGGGTTTACAAATGCTATGAGATATAAACAAGCTGAGATCTAAATTTCCTGATACATATCCATAGATACTACAACTGGTTTGGTTTTTTTGATCTGATTGATGTCATTAGGTTGACAATGTGTTTTTAATGGTATTTACTTTTCTTATCATTTATTACTGTAGAAAAGTTTTGTTAAATTTAAACCTTGTGGAATGTTGGCAGCTTGCTTGTGATGATTTTCTGGAGTTATGACTGCTTGTACTCATGGCGTTTGAGTTCAATATATGCTTCCACCACTCTCATATGACATATCCTATTTTCCCTTTTAGACATACAGTTCATATATTTTGGTGTCTAATAGACCACAATAAAGCATTTTCCGATTTGTGAGTTGAGTTTGGGTATGATAATGTCAACTAGACTTTTAATTGATGGCATTTTACAACACAATCTTGCAAGCCAAATGGCACTTCCACTGCTATTGTAATGTGTAATGTCTTATAGAAGTCAAAAAGCAATGTATTTTCGGTTTGGATTATGCAATTTGGAGGTGCATTTTGTCTTATGGAAGTCCATAAGCAAAGTAATTGTTTTTTACTTTTGAGGGAACAACCATTTCATGCCTTTTGTTTTGGATTGCCAACAGAAACCACTTCATACCTTTTCATGTGCTATCATTAACCCAATGTGACATTTATATTGTTTGAGTTAGGAAGACACCAGTGCGGGGTATTGGTTATAAAAACTTAAAATTGTCACTTTAGCCTAGGATGCCACATCTTCCTTTTGTTTTAGATATTCTTTATTGGATTTTTTATCCATTGCATGTGCACATATACATGTTCATTGCAATTTCGACTTTTTGTTTATTTTTGCTTTGAATATCTAAAAGTTTTAATTAATTTTATTCATAAAGTTTTATTGTGGTTATGTTTGACTCATCATTTTCTAATTCATCGGAAGCCCAAGAGAGTATGTTTTTCTATCCTAGGTTCAAATATTTCATCCCTAAAATTGGTAGAATTTTTAAATGGTCGCAATTGAGCTAGCAGCATTAAGTTGAATGAAACATGCTTTGAATAACTTTTTTTACTGCCCTAATTTTTTAAGTGTTGAGTCGTTTAGTGGGAGGCATCAATGGATAGTTCTACACTAACTTATTATATAGGTGGATACCAAGGTAATAAGGGTATATGTTTTATTTCCTCTATTTATAGGTGGATGCCAATGTAAATTTATATTTTGTGTGATTTTATTCTAAGGAGTTATGTTTAAAAAAAATGCAGGTTCCACTTCATACCTTTGTAAGTTTTTATTTGGATTTTGGGCACACACGCAACACCTTCCCCTCTAATTTGATTTCGAGGTCATTTTTCGATTTCAATGTCTGGATTGCAATTGAGATTCTTGCTTAATGCTAGATTTTTTGGATATATAGTTCTCTATCATACCTTGATTAATATTTTTGGATGAAATCATTGATTATATTTGTTGAAATAGGCATGGTATTGATTCATGGGTTATTCTATTTGATAGGAATGTATTGTTGTGTTATTATTCATTTGGACCCAAATTGAATCCTTTTGTATGTACAAATTTGTTGTAATGGTAATATTTATTTGTCATTCCATTTGAGTTTAAATATTGTTGTAGCTAGATCCTATGATGTTTATTTTCTTGAATTGCATTGACCGGAGTTGTTGGTACAGTAATCTAAATTCATCCTCCTCATCCTTTCCAGCTAGCAACGGTGCGACATGATACGTTATAGCCTGGGGTTGAGCTGGAACATTCTCAATCTCCAAAGGTGTCAATTTGTTCTATGTAAAATGGTAAGCTCTTATTTGTGTTCTTGATTTTTTAATCCCAATTTGGTGTTTTTACATCTTGACTTGTTCTTGGGTTGGTGCGCTTAATTTTTTTACTTGGTGTCCTCATAGCCCTAATGGATTTTTTTCACTATTGAATTTGTTGAATTTCTTTGATTATCGGTGATCATTCACTATTAACTATTGAATAAATGATCGGGCTCTTATAGATTAGCTTTCTCACTTTTTTTGAATTAATTGTGGTATGGTGTTTTTTTTGGTACAAAACATTATTTTCATACCATTATTTTTATGGCTAATTAATCATTAGCTATTGAGCATTATTTTCATGGACTTGGCAAAGTCGTAGTTGCCCTCCATATTTCGTGATACAATTCATTCAAATGCTTTGATTTGCTATACGGATAATTATTGAACCATTTTTTTTTAAAAAAAAATCCAAAGTCAATTAATTAATTATAATTTTTATTGCTAATTGATGCACTTTTAGTGAACTATTTGCTGTTTTATAAGGAATTTGTGGGCAGATGCCGATTTGTTCTAAAATTCTTGCTATTTAGGAGGATGGCTAAAGGTATTTTTCATACTGCATTGCTTATATTTTCATACTTTTTTGAAGGTGGGTAGTTGCATTTTTTTTTTCATGCTCTAATATGCTTAATTATCAGTAGGTTAGTTGATATTTCATTTTTAATTTTTTATTTAAGGGAATTATTTTGATTACTTTGTAGTATCTTTTTAAATTAATTCGAGAGAATTATGAAGAATTTGGTGGGGTTTTAAATACTTTTTCAAGACAATCTCTCAAAAGTGACTGATTTGTTCGATTTTTAATGAAATTTTTTTTTGGCAGTGGATATGCGTGATGTTTGGGTGGAATGAAATATGAGCAGAGTATGAGAATTTGTAGTGGGTACAAACCAGTTTTGACTAGATATAATATGTTGGTGATAGTAGTGTTGCAGAACAGATGATTGTATATTGAAACAGTAGGTACTGATGTATTTAAATGTATATTTCACAATATCATTAGCGCTCTTCTATTTGGTATGCTTTGTAATTGACTTTTTTTTTTACATTGTATCTTCGGGCATTGGGCTTTAATTAAATGATATAAAGAATAATCAATATCAACTTATTTGGAATGTTTCGTTTGTTTTTCAGTTCTATATACAGGTTGATATTTTCATGGATTCCTATTTTGAAAGAAAATTGTCAAAATTTTGAAAAAATATCAAGTTATTATTAGGTTTAATTAAATCTATATCAATTTTTTTAATTAAATGATATAAAGAATAATTTATATCAACTTTCTTTAATTAAATGATATAAAGAATAATCTATGTCAACTTAACCGAATTTGTGTGAGTTTTTATTTATTTTGTGTTTAATATGATAAACTAATTTTATGTTTGTCTTGATGTGAAATTATTGGTTGTTTTGATTGTAGGGTATTGATCGTTGATTTTAGGGGATTGTTTCGTTTGTTTTTTATTTGTGTATATAAATTTAAATTTTTTTTAAGTTCCTATTTTTTAAGTAATCTATGTCGAAATAGTTCCTAAAAAATATTTGGAAACTATATTAATTTCAATTTTTTTAATTAAATCATGTTTAAGAAAAAAAATTTTAAAATTAATCGATTGGTTTATGTTGCACTGTGCCTTCAGACACGGGTTATCTCTAGTTATGTCAATAAATTAGATCAAATTTTTAGGTTTTAATAGCATTATTCATATTAAATACTTTATGATCGGGCCCAAACTTAGGTTGGATTAACCTACCAAATTTGCACTCTTAATGAATCTAGTGGAAGTAATAATTTTCTTTTATAAGTGTGCCACTAGAAAGACACCTTGGTTAATTGACAACCCATGCAAAGTCTAAAAGCTGGAAATAAGCTGTATTGCCTGTTATTCTTAATGGACCTTCAATTTTTCAAATACGCGTTGGACTTGAGAGTATCATTGGATCTGTCTTCCTCGCTCTTAATATGCTAATAATTAATGGCACAGAAACAGAATGCTCATCTCTCTCTCTCTCTCTCTCTCTCATTCATTTGCTAAGCAATGGTGTGGCACAGAACCATGTGTCTCTTTCCTAGCAGGTTCGCCACTACACCGTCTACACGTATTGATAATATAAAATGCAAAGTCAGACTCTCGAGATCTATATAAATAGCCACCCTCTGCACAACCATTTCACTCACCCAAATCCCCATCTCATCAGCTTCCTTCTTCTCTTTCCCTTTCAAGGAAAACATTGTCTGTTCTGGTTCTGGTTCAAGTTCAAAAATGGCTTTTTTAGCTCCAACCCAATCCATTCTACAACTCTTCTTTCTGATCTCACTCTTCCATGGATCTTTTGCATCAAGAAAACTCACTGAGTTGGTCCAAGAACCGCAAACCCAGCTCTTGGAATACCACAATGGCCCTCTTCTTTTCGGAAAAACTTCCATTAACCTCATCTGGTACGGAAAATTCAAGCCATCCCAAAGAGCAATCATCTCCGATTTCATTACCTCATTCTCATCTTCATCACCTCAAAGCCAACCCTCCGTCGCCACGTGGTGGAAGACCACTGAGAAATACTACCACCATGCCAATGCCAAGAGACCTTTATCTCTGTATCTGGGTAAACAAATACTCGACGAAAGCTACTCTCTCGGAAAGTCACTCACACAGAAACAATTGGTACAATTGGCTTCAAGGGGTGAACAAAGATACTCCATCAACGTTGTATTAACAGCATCTGATGTTACCGTTGATGGGTTTTGTATGAGCAGGTGTGGGACCCATGGGTCCTCCAGAAGTGCTCTTGTGAAGGGTAAGAATTACAGGTTTGCATACATCTGGGTTGGCAATTCGGAAACTCAGTGCCCTGGTTACTGTGCTTGGCCGTTTCACCAACCCATTTACGGACCACAGACTTCACCGCTGGGTGCACCCAATAATGATATGGGTTTGGACGCAATGGTTATAAACTTGGCTAGTCTTTTGGCTGGGACCGCCACGAACCCATTTGGAAACGGCTACTATCAGGGACCAGCAGGTGCACCACTTGAGGCAGCCTCAGCTTGTCCCGGAGTCTATGCTAATGGAGCCTACCCAGGTTACGCTGGGGATCTGTTGCTGGACCCTACAACCGGTGCTAGCTATAATGCACATGGTGCGAAAGGGAGAAAGTACTTGCTTCCAGCTTTATACGATC